TCCCAGGTTCAAGTGATTCTCCTGCCTCAGCCTCCTGGGATTACAGGCGCCCACAATCATGCCTGGATAATTTTTATATTTTTAGTAGAGACAAGGTTTCACCCTGTTGGCCAGGCTGGTCTCAGGTGATTTGCCTATCTCGGCCTCCCAAAGTGCTGGGATTACACCACACCCAGCCTTAAATCTTAAATTTAATCTTATCTCTATTTTTAAATTTTATTTTAGGTTTGGGGCATATATGTAGGATTGATATGTAGGAAAATTTCACATGTGAGGTTTGGTGTACAGATTATTTTATCACCCAGGTAATAAACATGATACTAGGTAGTTTTTAGATCCTCCCCTCCTCCCACCCTCCACCGTCAAGTAGACCCTCATGTCTGTTGTGCTCTTCTTTGTGTCCATATGTACTCAATGTTTAGCTTCCACTTATAAATGAAAACTTAAAGTCTCCAAACTAGACAAAATTCTCTTTAAAAACTCACACTCCCGTGTCTCTTTATTCTGCTAAAAGCACATAAATCTTATTTTTAGTGAGAGACAGGAGGAAAATTATTTTAATTATATGCCAGGTGCAGAGACGAGAACACAGGAAAGAACTGCAGATAATGTCTGACTCTCTTCAGCACAGCTAGTGGGCATGGCTAACTCCACATGTCCGAAAGCCTGACCTGGAATCTAGTCACTCTAATGCAGGCAAGTTGAACAAACAAAAGCCATAAAAGCAATTTATAACCATAAAGCATCTGGCAAAGAAAATATCTGACCTGTCTGATTTAAACCATATTTTGTCTAAATTTTGAAGACTTTATTTTACCAATAACTTTTAAAACTGTCTTTATTTACCAAAGATTACTAAAGTCATGTGAACTAAAGGCATTAAAATTTCCATTTTTCTGACAAAATATTTTAAGTGCTTATTTTTCTTTAAGTCAATTAGAGATATTTTATATAAATATCCCACATACAACATATATAAATATGCAGACAGAAACATAACTAGAATTATATATTTTTTTATTTTCCAGTTTGTAGGTTTCTATTTTCCATTTTAGATCATCAGTCTCTTGATTACCCATTCCTTGCTCTAAACAATTGTCAGCTAGAAAACTTTAAATCTGTATTTCTAAAGGAAAACTTTTAGAGGAAACAGGATAGAGGATTTATATTTTACTGTAACTAAAGAAAAATGGTGTGAGTAAAAGCTCAGCTAAGATGTCCAGGAAAAGCAGATGTTCAAATACATGGAGATTTCCTTAAACATGTAAATTTTTTCATTGTATTATTGGCCTTAGGGCAGAGCTTTTCAAGAAAAAGGAAAGCATGTGGTTTGTAGGGCCTAATAAGCCAGCACAGCTGAAAGGTTCCCAGGAATTAAAAATCTGATTTTTACTGCAAATCCTAGGTCCCCCCCAAAAAAGAGAAACAGTTACAGGACAAGACAGTGCATTGCTTACACAACGTCTATCATCTTAAAGACATTTCTCCAAGGCTGGTGCGCAACCCCAAAGCCAATCAGCCCACTCTAAAATCAGCCCATTCCCCCATTTCGTACCTTAAGGATGCCCAAGAGCATGATTTTTCTCATTTAAATGTGAGAAGAAAAAAGCATTAGCCTGGAATAATAACCACTCACTGTAAGCAACTGCCATTAGCCATTTTTAGAAGTGTATCTTCTACCTACCTATACCTCAAAACTAAAATTTCTTTCATAATGCAAAGTAATTTCTCATGTTCCCCAAAGTCAAAAAAGTTAAGCATCAATGAAAAACAGGGCAGAACCTTAGATTTTGAGAGGGATATGTCCACTTAAAATTCTTGGGGTTCCAGGAGGAAAGCAGAGATTTCTCCAAGAACAGGGTCTATGGCACACCACTCTTCCTTCCAAGGACCGCCAGGCTGTCAGAAAATACCTTAAGTCCTTTCATGTGGGCACTAAGGATGCAGGAAAACAGACAAAAATCAATGGAGAAATTATTCACTTGACTGAGAAAAGAAAAACCTTTTGTTCTCAAAAAATGAGAAGAGAAAAAAGCATAAAGTTCTTCTAAATATATGTATAGCTTGGATATCTTTCTTAAATTAAGCTGACTTTTAACCTATAGAGCTCTTAAAAAAACAAAACCAAAAAAAAACCTTTAAAATTGCTCATTACCAAACTTTAGCTAGGACAAACAGCTGACACCTCTGGCTTTTAAGCTCTTTTCTACCCAGGTTCTCCCAAATGAAACCAATAAGCCTTAACTATGGTTATGATGTAACCATAGACACCTGAGGTTTTTTTTTTGAATGCAATAGCAGTGGTTCTTCCAAGGCTTATAACCACTGTTAAGGTAGCTCAGAAAAAAAAAATTAAGACAGTAAATTAGAAGCCTTCTGTGGAAGGAAGAATAATCAATAAATGGCAAAAGTCCCACCTGTGTCAAACCAGAGAAAACTGAGTTCCTAAGCCAGGAATTGAACCCAGCATGCTATCATGAAAAGGCAAAACCTTAGCTACTGAGCTATAGCAGGAAGCAGTTACCAGTGCTTTTCCCAGAAGGAGTTAGAGCAGTCATTTCTGAGGCTGCAAAGGATTTTAACTACTCAAGAGAATTCTCAAGGATAGCCATGACATTATTGTGTATCCTTTCAAACAAGATGTTTGATATAAACCTGAAAATTCCCACCCTCCAGATGGCTGAGACCAGGAAAGAGTACCTTAGCATGGTCACAAAGTCAATTTATCAAGAACATAAAACAAGATAGGAGGGAAGCCTTACCAGTTTTTGTTTCTGGGACCTGAAGCAAAGTTTAAGCAGCCTCTCGGGCTAGCTTAAACAGCAGGCTTATAGGATCCTAGGCCCATGTGCTATCCTGTGGCACCCCTTTCCATGACAAAACAACACGGAAACACAAGTGCACAGCACAAAGTACACCAGATTTGCTACAGCCTGAGTCTGATCTCACAGTTTTTTTTAACCACTAATTAAAATCTTGCAGAGGAGACAAACAATGATTTTTACCATTCACTTAACTGGTTTGCACAGAGAAAGATCAGAAGCCTGGCTGGTAAAAAATTCTTATTGTTTTGCCAGCATTCTGGGATTCCAGCTTCCTTTTCTCTTCAGCTTCCAGAAAAGTAGAGTGGCTTTTGATGACCCTGATTACTGCACCATAGCTATGGGGGCCAACCTGTTACAAAAGAAAATCATCTTTCTTTGTTTCATGGAACCATAGGCAAAAGTCTCTCATTTTTGCACGATGCTGTCCAATGGGTTGCATGGAGTAAAAAGATGTCAAATTAAACACACAAAAGGAAAAGCAGATCAGGATGTTAGGGATGCAAACTTCAAACCCACATGCTGTCAAGTTCTGTCCTCACAAAGACAGCACAGAGTCAATAGGCTGAAACAGACAAACGGCAGAACAGCCCATAGACTTTCCTTCTCCACAAAGCATGGCAAAGGGCATAAAAGTACTTCGAAGACTTAAAGAAGATAACAGAGTTCAAAGCCAGGATGCCAGACAGACTTTCCTATCAACTGGACCAATTGACCATTTCAATCCATCCTGCACGATGTCTGTTAAGACGGAGCCAACTGATCCTTTCAACCCGTCCCACATGGGTACTTTTTCAGGTCCAGCCAATGAAATTAATGAAAAGCAAAGAAGAAAGGAAAGCTGGAAGAAAGAAAAAGACACAACAAATCGGGTACAGGAGTGGAAAGAAAGTGTTGTCTTCAGGGTTGGCAAGGAGTTGGCAAGGAGAAAAACTCACCAGTTGCCGCAATGCTGAATCAAAGATCCAGGCACCCGCTCCTCAGCTGTGAAGGGATCATGTCTTCCCATGCCACTAGCTCATGAACCTCCCTCTCCAGGGAGGAAAATGCTCCCCACATCCCGTGTGGTCTGGCTGCAGTCACAAGAGAATCTATTACAGACCGATATAATGGAAATTAACATGGGGCCTTCCCAGACAAGGCTTTTATTTCTGGACTTGTATTCCAGTGCAAGGAAGACCGTGGAGGTGCAAGGATCCTCTAGCTGGCTCTCCAAAAAGAGCCAGTGTGGAAATTTTAGTAGACAAAGCATGGGAATTGACATCAAGGGTAGGGTATGGAGGCTGGGTTGGGCACAGCACATGAGGGGTAAGGTACACATGTTAGCATATCTGGTTGTGATGGTTATCTTGAGTAATGGGCCACCAGGTGGTCTGGTCAACAGCAAAAAGGCTGTAAATCAATTGCTCAACATTCCTTCCCAAGGTGAGACACCCAACAGCCTTGGTTCAATATTTTGGATCGCCTAAGGCCAGTTCCTGGAATTAAATAAAATGACTATTTGCAGACATGGAATCAATGAGGTAGTGGTGTAGGTTTTCTTATCAGTGAGAATGCATGAAAGAATGCTGCTCTAGTGGGGATGAGCTGAAGCCAAACCCCATCCCTGCTCTGTCTCAATTCCTGTGTCTCTTCCAGGTTTGTACCGCACACTGATAGTTCAACAGTTCTGGGGTTTCAGTGGCAGCCCCATCCCTGTGGATACACTAGGCATTGCCCTAATGGGGACTCTCTGTGGTGGCTTTGCCCCTGTGGCAGGTTTCTGCCCCCGAAGTTTTCCAAATCTACTGGTCAAGCAATGTGTGGCATGACTTTTCTTTTTTTTCCTCTTAAGATGAGAGAAGGGAGAAATTATTTAAAGACAATTTATAATTCAAAGGGAATGAGAATGGAAAGATGTAGAAAACCCTAACTATGGCCATGTAAAGAATAAAAAAAACATGTTCCGGAGGGAATGCTAATGGTGTGGCAAAGTGACCATTTTCTAAAGAAATTAATATGGTTAAAAGAAAGCCAGGTTCTAATCATCAAGCAACTGGAAAATGAACTTGAAGGTAATTCAGAGAAGTCTTGGAGGCCACCAGGCAGCCATAGCTCTTGCATGCTGCATACGTCTAGAATTAGCACCATGTGCATGGTGCAAAGTTTACTGCGTCTACTTTCAGAAGCAGTAGGCTGAGCAGCACTTGAGCCCTCTTGAGCCAAGGCTGGGGTGACCAAAGAGTGCTGCACCAGAATGTGGGGAACAGAGTCTTGAGGCAGCCCTGGGTAGTCAATTCTGAGATCTTGCATATGCCTCTTTTTGAAATGTTGTCTTCAAGGTCCTAGCTTGCCAGATATTTTATTGCTCTAAAGTTCTGCCTTCCAGAAAGTCCTAGGACATAAACACAATTATGACAAGTTCTTTGCAACTGTTTAACAAGAATGGCCTTTAACTCCAACTTCCAATGCCTTGTTCCTCAGTTCCATCTAATACTTTGTCAGAATGGCTTTTACTGTTTATATTTTGACCTGCATTCTAATTATTACCACTTAAGTGATATCTAAGAAATTCCAGTTTTTGGCCAGGTGCAGAGGCCCACACTGGTAATCTCAGCCCTTTGGGAGGTTGAGGTGGGTGGATCACCTGAGGTCAGGAGTTTGAGACCAGCCTGGCCAACATGGTGAAACCCCATCTCTACTACTAATAAAAAATTAGCCAGATGTGGTAGTGTGTACATGTGATCCCAGCTACTTGGGAGGCTGAGGCAGGAGAATTACTGGAATCTGGGAGGCAGAGGTTGCAGTAAGCCAAGATCACACCACTGCATTCCAGCCTAGGTGACAGAGGGAGACTCTGTCTCAAAAATAAATAAATAAATAAGAAATTCAGGATTTTCCCTATAGTTCTCTTTTTCTGAGCCCTCTCCAGAATGGGTCCCTAAAGCTCTGTACATAGTAACATAGGCTTTTTCTAGCCTACTCTCCAAATTCTTTCAGCTTCTACCCATTATCCAGTTCCAAAGCGACTTCCACATTTTCAGGTATTTGTTATATCCACACTCCCAGCCTTATTCCATTTTGTGCTGCTGTGTCACAATACCACCAATGGAGTAATTTAGAGACAATTGAAGTTTATATGACTCATAGTTCTGGAGGCCAGAAAGTTCAAGGAGCTGGCATCTGGCGAGGGCCTTCTTGCTATATCATAATATGGAGAAAGGCATCACATGGTGAGAGAGATCAAACTCATAGCCTCAAGCTCTTTTATAATCCACATTAACCGATTCACAAGGGTGAAACCCTCATGACCTAAAACACTTTCCATTAAGCCCCACTTCCCAAAACTTTCACATTTGGAATTAAATTTCCCTCATATTCTTTTTTAGAGGACACATTTAATCCATAGAAATAACTAAGAAACACTGATCCCTGAAATAGGTCTCTGCCAAACACAAGCTGTGACCAGAAACACACCAGAATGCCCAGTCCTGGAAACTGTGGCTTCAGTGGCCTGTCATTCTGATTGCCCTAGGGTGAGTCACCAAGTAAGCCAGTATCTAGCCCCCAAAGTTTAGCCAATTAGTAAAGTTAATTATTAATATCGCAACAACTAGAAAACTTGGGCAAAGAACAATGTGGTAAACACCAGAAAGCATAGAAACAAGTAACAAGGCTAAAGCACGAGCTTGCTATAGGTGGAAGTTTTGTACCAAACCTCTTTTATGGTAGACTGGAGTTGATTCATAAGCCAAGTGAAGTGTGCAAGATTCCACAGTCGTGGCCGAGTCATCCTGTTTGAGATGCCAACTGTTTTTTTTTTTTAAGATTAAATAATTATTTTGATGGCAGAACACAACACGATGACACTCAGATAGAAGAAAAACAGAAGTTTTTGTTATATAGAGCTCCAAAGGAGAGGAGATTGCCAGACAGAGTGAAACGGGATTGCATCAGAAGGGAAAGGTAATAGCAATCTCGAACTGCAGGGAGAAACTTAAGTTTGGCAAGTACGGTGGGGTTAGCCAGGTTTTGTGAACTCCTTATGGACTGCCTAATTTGAATACCTTTTTAGGCCCCAGCGTATAGGCAGTGTCCCGAGATGTCTGGTACCTGAATGTGCAATTAAGGCTCATGCATGATGGTACAGAGTGTGAGATTCTTATAAGGAAAATGGTTGGGGTATGGACTTACTGAGTTGTTTAAGAAGAGGCACTGACCAGCCTCTAGCAAGAAACTCAAAATTTAGTGAAGATTAAAAACAATCAAACAAATGAAAACCCCACAACAGACATTCTGTCCTACCTAACTCAATGACACAGGATGAACTGCTCATTCAAAATTTGGTTTAGATATCCAAATTGGTAAGACTCACACATACCTCACGAGTGTATAAATATGTTTACTGCTCACATAATAAAGATTTCTAGTGAAAGGAAGGCAGCTCTAAAGCAGGTCCAAAAATGGCTTAAGAGAAGAAGAAAAGAAAAATGGACTTGTGGTTTTGAAGGTAGTTAGGAGTGTGGCTGGGATGAGGATTCCAATGCATGGTTTGAATTTTCTCCACATGTACCAAAGGAAGGAATATCCAAATTTGCTTATCATGTTGCCAGACATTACCGAATCCTGAGTCTCAAAAAAGAGCAAAATGCTACAGAACAAAGTGCAGTGCTTTTGCCATGCATTTCACTTCAAGAACAGACAGAAACAGAACTGTGTTCTGTTCACTTCAAGAACACTCCCCAAAGGCTGGTGGGCAAAGCCATGCCAATCAGCCCATTCTATAATCAGTTCATCACCCATTTCAGACCTTTTAGGTGCCCTGGAGCATTATTTTTTCATTTAAACATGAGAAGAAAGAAGTATCAGCCTATAGTAATTACCATTCACCGTAAGCAACTGCCATTGATTTTCCCTAAAGTATATTTCCTAACTCACTATTACACACCAAGGCTAAAAGTCCTCTCATAATGCCGAGTAATTTCTGTTGTCTCTCCAAAGTCAAAAAGTTCAGGTAACACAATGCAAAATAGAACAGAGCCTTAGATTTTGAGAGGGATCTATCCACTTACAATTCTTGGGGTTCCATTAGGAAAACAAAGATTTCTCCCAAAATAGGGTCTTGGCACCTAGTCTGTTTCTCTCAAGGAGTCTCAGACTGTCAGAAATTACCTTATCCTCTCACCTGGGCATCGAGGGTGGCAAGAAAACAAATGGAATTCAATTGACTGAGAAGAAAAAAAAACAGTTAAAAAAGAAAAGAGATCCAAGAAGAGGAAAAGCATAAAGGTCTTTTAAATTTATATGTACAGAGAGCGAGTTGGATATCAACTTTTAGTTCGGCTTTTTTTTTTTTTTTTTTTTTTTGAGAGGGAGTCTTACCCTGTTGCCAGGCTGGAGTGTCATGGCACAATCTTGGCTCACTGCAACTTCCACCTTCTGGGTTCAAGTGATTCTCCTGCCTTAGCTCCCCAAGTAGCTGGGACTACAGCCTTGTGCCACCACACCCAGCTAATTTTTGTATTTCTGGTAGAGATGAGGTTTTACCATGTTGTCCCAGATGGTCTCGATCTCTTGACCTCATGATCCGCCCACTGCAGCCTCCCAAAGTGCTGGGATTACAGGTGTGATCCACTTTGCCCAGCCTAGTTAAGCTGACTTTAAACCATAGAACTTTTTAAAGAAAATCTTTTTAAATCTCTTATTACCAGACTCTAACTGGGACAAACAACTGATAATTCTGACTTTTATGCTCCTTCTTTTCCCTGAAAGATGTGCTCCCAAGTGAAGCCAATAAGCCTTAACTAAAGATATGACTTAACCATGGATGCATGAGGTATCTCCAAAGAGATGGCAAACAATATTCACAAGATCCAGAATTGCCCCTAGGGTAGCTCAGGGAAAAGAAGACTCAAGACAGGAATTCAGAAGTTGTCCCTGGGAGGATTAAGAGCCAACAAATAACAAAAGTCTCACAACTATCAAAACAGAAATGACTCATTTTAAAATCTAGGAATTGAACCTAGAATTCCCATGTCAAAGAGCAAAGCCTTGGCTTCTTGAGCTCTACCACAAGGCAACTGCTAATGCTTTTCCTAGATAGTGTCTAAAGCAGTCATTTTTGAGCTTGCAAAGGATTTTAACTAATCAAGAGAATTAAGGCTAGACATAACATTTTCATGTGCTCTTTTCAGACTCAAGAGTCAAAGACTTATAATTTAATATCACAAGAACTTTCAAAGCAACATAGATGGTGGGGCACGGTGGCTCATGCCTATAATCCCAGCACTTTGGGAGGCCAAGGTGGGCAGATCACGAGGTCAGGAGTTTGAGACCAGCCTGGCCAATATGGTGAAACCCCATCTCTACTAGAAATATAATTAGCCGAGCATGGTGGCACACACCTATAGTCCCAGCTGCTCAGGAGGCAGAGGCAGAAGAATCGCTTGAACCCAGGAGGCAGGGGTTGCAGTGAGCTGAGATTGTGCCACTGTACTTCAGCCTGGGCGACAGAGCAAGACTCCATCTAAATAAATAAATAAAACATAGTTACATGGATGCAATAATGTTTTCAAGTCCATAATTTGAGTTAACTTTTAAATTGATGAAAGTATTTTTTTCTCAATAAAAGACATATTCTTTGGCACATTTTATACAAAACTAGGAAGCAAGAAATCTCACTGCTTATCAGATATTAGCATTTTACAGATGAGAACCATTCTACAATTTTGGAACATGTTTCCCACATCATAACTCTTTCTTAATTGGAAATAAAACAGACAACCAATAACCATTCAAAATTATTTTAAGATTTTAAATTATACAAAAAGTTTACTGACAAGCATTTATCTCATTTATATAGACCAAATGCTCCCATTTTAAAGCATGTATTTATTTTACTTCCGAAAACTGATATATTACACAAGGTTAATCATTATTTAAAGTTATTTCCATGTTAACCATTTTTAAAGCTTGTGAACATTAGGTGTTAATCTAACTAAGAATTGTAAAGTTAAATATGTGGGCATTTTGTTGACCACTCAGAAGATTTGGCTGTTTTCATTAAACAATATTAAATGTCTTATTTATAAAAAATTATACAGAGGTCTTTCTGTTTGGGGCTGGGTTTGTATTTTATATGTTGGTAATTCTTAAGACATTTCTCATAATATTTTACCAATAATTTTAAGGTCAGTTTATTAAAGATTTTACTTAAGTCACATGAACTTATAAAGCATTGGGGATTATTCACTTAATTTATAAGGACTCCTTAACTTTCCTATAGCTTTTATTTCAGAACTCTAGCCATAAGATATTAATACAAACTCACCAGTTTCTAAAAATAAAAGGTTGGGTCCAAACAGTGTTTTGTTTATTTTAAAATTTTATTTATTTATTTATTATAATAGAGATGGGGTTTCACCATGTTGGCCAGGCTGGTCTCGAACTCCTGACCTCAGGAGATCTGCCCACCTCGGCCTCCCAAAGTGCTGGGATTACAGACGTGAGCCACCACGCCCAGCCCAAACAGTGGTTTTATCATCACACCAGCAGAAAACTAACAGCAGATTTAAAGCATGTGGAAAAGAAAATAGAGAAAGGTGTAGCCTGGCCAACCTCTGCATAAGAACCAGGTTCTACAAGTAGAATGTGAGAAACAAAAGAGGGGAACAAAAATATTAAAGTGACCAATAGGAAACTCTGGAGCCCTCCAGCCACTTGACTCTGGGGTTACTGCCCCCGCTACTCTCACTTATCCCCATCAGGGAGAGTCTCAGTACCCCAGGTGGACAGCTCTCCCAGATAATCAGAAGGGTGAAGCTGCAAGACCTCCCACACAAAGTAACACATCAACACATGCAAACAAACAGCGTGCTTCCAAATGAGTCCATAGTCAAGGGGATTGGGTGAGGTCCTAAATCCCACTCCCTAGGTCCAAATGCTCCGTAGACAGCCGAGTCCAAGCTGAGCAAAGCTCCTATGGTATTTGTCACACATGCAGACAAATGCAAATGCTCAAATGCTTAATGAAAAGCAGCTCCAAGTTATTTTCCTTTCTAATGAAGATCAGCCTGCAAAATCAAGTTCGATGTGGGACATTGAGTCAAAGGAGATGATTTTGGAGCTTTAAGAAAGCACCACGACATGTGTATAGCTATGTAACAATCCTGCAAATCTGTACATGTACCCCAGAACTTAAAGTATAATTAAAAAAAAAAAAAAGATGTAATGTCTGCTCTGCAGGGTTTTGAACTGGTATAGTTCTGTTGCCCCTTTCTTTTGTCTGATTTATCCCCTTTCAAATGGGGATATCTACATAATGCCTGTGCCACCATCATGTTTTTGAAGTAAATAACTTGTTTGTGATCTTACAGCCTCATAGTTGAAAGGAATGTACCTTAAGTCTCAGATGAGATTTTGGACTTTGGAAGTGATGCTGAAGGGAGTTAAGACTGAGTATTGCCAAGGCACAATTGTATTTTGCAATGTGAGAACATGAGATTTTGAGGGCCAGGGGTGGAATGATATGAATAATTTGTGTGTCCACTCCAAATCTCATGTTGAAACGGGACCTCAAATGTTGGATGTGGGCCTAGTGGGAGCTGTTTGAGTCATGGGGGTGGACCCCTTATGAATGACTTAGCTTGTCTATCCAGTGGACACCCTCCCTTGGCCCCCCTCCAGTTGAGTGTGAGCACAGACTTGTGAAGCAGGTCAGCCAGCTCCATATGCCTTTATCTTCTCATGTTTTAAAAAGCAACTATTTTGACTGCCTGTTCCAATTTTCTGTTAAACCATTACTCCTAGGATGACATGCAACATGATGTTTATTTGATGTGACATCTTTGCCTCTTGTTGCATGCTATCGGTTTGGTTTGATGAAATGTAACTTGGGGTCCCAAATTGGTACAATAGCTGCTGTTCTGACCCTTTAAGAGTATTTTGAGCTTTTGCATCTACAACCAGGTATGCAAAACACAGCAGGGTAAGAATCTATTCTTGTTGGGACAAATTCACAGCCACCAGAACTACTGGCATTGGTCCAATGTAATCAACTTGCCAGCTATATGCTTCTCCCTGGGTGACCTTCCCCACAGCCATCTTTGGTCTCAGTTTCTCTTGCTGGAACACAGAATAGTTCTTGCTGGCATTTTGTGCCTCAGCATGTACAAGAGTAACATGTCTAGATTCAGCCATCTCTGCATTGCTGCAGCATTCCCCACCCCCATGTTCACTCATTTCATGGACCTCAGGGGAGCATGTCAAAGGGTCCACTTGGTGATTCCAATCACCCACTGAATCTGGAAGGAAGTTCTTTTGATGGGCGTCAACGTGTCTTACTTTAATGCCCTCCTCAAATTCACAAATCGACTTTCATGGGGCTGTGGCCCACACAGGCATCCCTTTAATAGTCCAGTCCTCCATCACCTGGCTACCTGACAATATGATCAGGATTTTCACCCTACCCATGAGTCTATAAAAATGCAAGCATAGGAACTTGTACCACTGTTAACTTCTTCCATCACTGCTAGGAAACCAGCATGCAATTCAGCCCATTGAGCTGATTTTTTTCTCATCTTCAATGAGAGCCTTTCTACTGCTGGTCTTTAGGCCTCAACTTTCTAAATAGCATGTGGTCTGTTCATCATGTAAGTGCCATTTTTAAACCAAGCAACAGTTTGTTGGTCAATCAAAAGCTGTTCTTGAGGTTCTGTTCATGTGGCAAGAGGTTCCATCAGCTCTCTGAGGGTTCCAAAGTTGGTCCTGGAGGAAAAGACACCACCTGCTTGTGAATGTGGTGATTGTCTCCTTGCATGCTCCAGTAGCATGCTCTTGCTTGAGCCATTTCCTTTTTAACATGGAAATCTTCTGGACACTGCCTTCCTTACTAGGGTGTTTCTCTGATATCACCCAAAATATGGATTTCTCGGGTTTCATGATTATTTTATGTCCTTCAGTCATTGAGGCAGCCTCAACTAATGCCCAATAGTAAGCCAGTAATTATCTTTCAAATAGTGTGTGCCAGGTAGCAGCATCTGGAAACTTTCTGGCCCCAAATCCCCTCAGTGCTTGCAGGAGGAGATCACAGGCTTTTGATATAAGCTCCAGTCTGCATGCGTGTCAGTGGCAGACACTTCCAAAATCATTTCTGAGTGGGTACCAAGAGAGAGTTCACCCCATATAGACTTCACAGATAGGCCACAATGATTCCTTGTCAGTCACAGTG